CAGAAGCAAAGCGAATCTCACCAGAAGAAAAATATATATAAATTAATATCCCTGAAAAAATCGCGACCATGAACAATGCAAGAGCAAGGATTAAATTCAGCGCTGTAATAAGCGTTCCCGGTGGCGCACAAAATGGAAATCAAAGCGACGCTATTAGAGATGATAAAAACGCCCTCTGTGCTGCTTATAATTCCCGTCACAAAGATCAAAACTGTTATGGTGTGGTTAGCCGAATGCCGCCCTTGCATCATAAACAGTACCTGGCACCACCAAAGAGCGATATTGCAAATGCAAGTTGAAGGAAGCGCAAGAGAGGGGACTAAGGAGAAGAAGCAAAATGCCAATAATCAATTAAAACATCAATAGCGTCACGCGAAACAGGCCCTGCGTGACGCCCGGAGCAGCGGGAGCGGGGCGGCCGCGTTCAGCAGACGAGCGGCGGCGGCAGCGGGCGAGCGCGAGCGAACGAGGCCCGCACACAGCCAGCGAGCGCGGCGGCGGCAACGTCAGCCACAGTTTCCGAGCGCCTCCAACCCGAGCAGCACACTCACATACACACGCACGCACGTGGTTGCCCCCTCTTGTGCTTTCTCCTGCCTGTTCCTGCTGCTGCAACCTCCTACTTGCCTGACTGCTCGACTGTTCTCGTGAGGTGGATCCTGTCCTCCCCCCAGCCTCTGCCTGGGATCCTGCTGCGAGGACTCCCGGGCCGAAGTCGCCGAGGAGGGAAGGCGACCGAAGCGCCCCGCGTTCGGACGGCGCTCCCGGCTGGATTATAAGTGCTCCTCGGCGCGGCGTTCGTCGTCGGTGGATTACCTGTCTGTCCTGCCGGTGACGTGATAAGTCAGAGTGTGACGTTCGCGTGTCGTGATGTGACGTACGTGATGTGTCGTGTTTCAGATATGATTAAAAATTGCTTATGGTGTAAGGTTATTGTCTTAATGTTGTTCAGTTGATTATGAAAACCGAAATCCCCCATTGACCGTAGTGAGCTAACGAATATTTAATTCGCAGTCATAATCACAATAATGTAACAAACCATATTTCATTATAAAATTCAAAATCGAAACTTTAACGAACAAAGCAAACGTCAGTTACAAACAGGAAAGAATCTAAGCTGCGGTGTGATGAAATACAAATCTTCTCTTGAAACCTGATCATGTGTGACAAATAAATCGTATAAGACGTTGTGTTTAGTGTCTTTTAAAACCGCTAAACCAAGTATAAACCTCTTTTAATGTTAAAAGTGTTTCCGCTTGGACGTGCTAGTCAGCCAGACGAGCCCTACCAGTCGCAGGGAATTCCATAAAAGACAACAGGCAAGAGCTAGGAGCAGAATTATACTAAAAATGCCTAATTGACAACTTAGCCATGAGGCCTGTCAGCTGGTAAGGTGAGAAAAGGGGGCGTGTCCGACAGCTAGCACCAATATGAGGGGGCGGTGCTAACATCATCCGTGGTTGAGGGAGGTGGCAGAGGAGGAGGAGGGGGGGTCGAGCGTGTGGTGTGGCAGTGGGGGGGTGACTCATCAGTTATCCTTCACTTCACCCATTCTGAGTCAGGAACGCCACTCGGGCTCGAGAATTTCCTCGGACTTGATGAGGCGGTTGGCGTCGGCGGTGACTTAAGTGTAGCGCGGAGTGAGTTTTGTGCGTTGGGGACGCTCGTGTGCTTCGGGACTTGGCTTAGTGAGCTTGCGTGATGGTGCGGTGTTTACGTTTGTGAATGTTGGGGTAAAGGGTAATAGCAAACGAGTTTAGCCTGTCAACTTTGAAGATTAAGTCACTGCCACGGAGGATCGAAAGTGTCTCCGCATTGTTCGTTCGTAGTGAATGTCCGAACACAATGACAGTGGCTATGTCTTCCTCTAAGACGGAAGTGCAGAGCAAAGATTTTGCAACGCGGGTGAAGGATGACGTAATAGATCACTTCCGGCCCAAGTCTGGGTCACCCGCGGAGTGCAGGGATACGAACACATCCGTCAGCATTAACCCTGTGGTCGTTCCGAACAGCGACGACGAAACTCTGACGTTGCGAGCCAAGGAGGAGCAGGATGGCGAGGCACGCGTCAGAGGCGACCTGCAGCCGACCGACCTCAGCGTCAAGCGAAACAACAACAACAACCACATCGAACTACAACCTCAGGGCCAAAAGCTCATCGGCAGCATCAACAACAACCACATCAGCATCCCGCCGTCCTTGAGCATCAAGAGCTCCTTCTCGATCACGAACCTCCTGAGACCTCTGGCGAAGGACAGGCCCTTGGACGAGCCCGAGGACCTGAGCCGAGCGCGGAGGCCGACGGAGGCGCTGCCGGAGGTGACCATCACGCCTCAGCCGCGTCTCCTGCCGGAGGACAAGGCGGCGGCCAAGAGGAAGGCGGAGGAGATCGAGGAGGATATCGACGTCGAGGAAGAGGACGGGGAGGAGGAGGACTGCGACGGGGAGGAGGAGGAGGACTCAGGGATCAGCGAGACGCACCACCAGGACGAGACGAGAG